AAAGGAAGGAAGGAAGCCACTGGGCATGCTCTAGGCTGCTGCGTCTTGGGAATTTTCCGCCAGGTGCGGTGCATTCGGGTCAGACGCACAGTGGGGTTCCCTGCAGTGACAGTACAGATAAAAAGACCACGTGGCTGGTGATAACTGTGCACCGTTTAGGCAAATCACAGACTGGGGCATTTTTACAGCAACTGTCTCGGAAGCGCGAGAGACGCTGCTGTGTGCGTGCCTTAACACGGGGTCGTTAGCGCCCAGAGAACAGGACCCACGCAAGATGCATCTGCATGCACAGTCACGCCGATGGGCCCCCAGAGACCGTGCATGCCACGCTAAAGCCTGGAGTTAGCAGGTACCTCTTTCATCACGTTTAGGAGCAGACGAGCCTCCTCTTCCCATTTCCTAGGAGTGGATTCTCAGGGCCTGGTAACATATTTTAAATATCCACAATTTCTTCTTATTTCTATCACGCTGGGCCAGATGGGGTAGTATCTCCTCCCACAGGAGATGGGGCTGGGGAAGAAAAGGATCTTAATGCAGTCTATTTTTTTAGCTCAGCATGTGACCTGGAGTCAAGATATTGTCCGTGCAGAGTGTGTGCTTCTCCGGCTTCCCCTGGCGGAGCACCAAGGCTGTCCCGCACATCTGGGGGCTTGAGGTCTTTCTAGAAGAGCGTCACCTTGCTTTGAGGTCTGTGTGGTTGGAGCTTGGGCCCTGACTCACTGCGCAGCAGCAAAGCTGCCTTGGGGGCTGCACAAGCCTCTGGGGACCTGCGCAGACGCCGGGGCAGGCTGGCGTGGCAAGCAGTCCATCGCTGCGAGGAGGCAGGGACCCGAAGGGGAGCCATCAGGCAGTTAGAACTTCTGGTGAGCAAAAGGGGAAGTGTGTGACACAACTGAGTCTCAAGAAACAGTGATAGGCAGACTTCCTGGAAAGATGGAGTTCCAAGTCGAAACTTCACTAAGTGTTTTTGTAATTTTTGCAAAGCATGAATAGAAACAAAGCCAAAACACATCTAAGAGGAACTTTTGTAATACATAGCATCTCTTTGCAAGAGAAAGACATGCGCATGGCATTATCAGAAAAAAAGTTCTAAAGGGTAATGGGAGAGCTGGCTTCTGCTGATTTCTCCACTCTCAGCGCCCCAAGATATGGATACTAGGGTGAACCCGATGATAAGGAACAAGGCCATGGAGCTCATTTAAAAAATAAAACAAACAAGAAAAAACCCAGAGGACTTTGAGGGACAAGCGTGACCCAGAAACACCTCAGAAGCTAAGACAGGTTGCTGGACTTGCTCCCCACTCCCCCCCGCTCAGTACCTCCTGGCATCTTTAGTTCTCTCCGCATCTGAAAGACTTATTTTATTTTTGGCTCACACATTGAAGGCTGGCAAGCCGTCCTGGAGCCCAGGCAGAGCCTGCTGCTGGAGTGAGCAGGGCAGAGTCCTCTGGAGGGCCAGGCCCAGCAGAGCCGCTGCTGTGGGCTGGGACGGCCAACAGGATTCCGGAACCTCCAGGCCTCAGCCTCAAAATCCAGGCAGTGCCACTGGCGAGCAGCACCCAGTTCCTCTGACCATGGTGACCTCCTCAGCTTGGCTGTGCTCTTACTTGCTTTTTTTCCCCACTCTCCACACAAGGCTGATACATTTCTGATTTTTATACTTTGCACATAACATGACACCATACAATACAATACAATACAACACAGTATAGTACAGTACAGTACAATACAGCACGCCCCACCGTAGGTGAGCCTGTGGCACTCATTCCTCAGCCTAAGTTACAGCAGCCGCGCAGCTCCTCAGGCCCTCCGCCACTCACGTGCTTCTCCTGTCAGGCTCCTGCCTGGCCCTCTGCTGCTGCCCTGCAGGAAGCCTGTGGGCACACACCAGGCGGGCACATTCTTAGAGGTCACATGGCAAGGGTGACCTTTCTGCAGAGTTCTGATGAGATGGGCCTTGTTTCTCTCTGAGACCTCATCTGAGAGTCCTTTATTCATTCTAGGCAAAACCGTTTACATAATCTCTGAGGAGGTCCAGGCTTTCCTTAGTCTCTCTGTCTTCTTTTGAACCCTCTCTGAGCTGCCCTTCATGTTCTCTCTGGGGTTTCTAGTTTTTTTTCTGGCACATTCTCTAAATTTTCCAGCCACTGCCGTTCACTAGCCCCCACGCTTCCACCTCTTCAGGCACTGTTGGAGCAGCGCAGGCTTCATGAGGCGGAATCTCCTCCCCCTGCGGCATGATGGCCGCACTCAGGGGTGTATTTTGGAGCATTTTTCATGCTGGATCTTTGCACTGGGGATGCTCAGCCTGGCGCTCTGCCCTGCTCGGCAACAGTGACGCCTTCCAGTCACCCCAGCGCCTCTTCTGGGACCTGCGCACCACGCCAAGCTGCGGGAACCGAGCACCAGTGGCCTAGCATCGGGGCCTCCCAGGACCCTGCTCCAGCCCCTGCCAGCGTGCAGTCTGCCCGCCAGGGGCTACGCCACGGCCGCTGCTAAGCACCTCGCACGCGCACCCATCCTGCGTGCGCCCGAATGCACGGTCTCATTTCCAGTGGGTGTGGGCTGACGGCTCGGCTGAGTTTAGTCTGAACACAGCTCCGAGTTGGTGGATTATTTAAGGCTCCCATAGACTTTCAGCAAATGAGTCAGGCAGCATCGTGTCCTCGAGGGGCAGCACGGCGGAAGATCAGGGGCAGGTCATAGCGTTCGCACCCAAGTTTGCTCTCTGGTGTGTCAGTAACTGTAAACTGAGCAAATTCACGTTGTCTGAGTCAGTGTACATTAAGAACCAACTTTGCCTCTTAAATATTTAGATAATGAGTCACCTTCCTAAAAACTAGGAAAAAAAGGAGGTTAAATTATTTTCTTTAACATTGGTACACTTCGCAGTCATTGAACAAGATGCCCCTGTGATGCACTTTATCCTCCTGAACCAATGTTAATCTACTTCTTGTGGCCCATGACAGCTGTGGAGGAAGAAATACAGAATATCTAGTAATTTATTCATAAAGTTCCAGTCACTGCTGACTTTAAAAGTCCTATCTGTTAGCGCCTCATTTGAATGCCCCTTCTCACTATCTTATTAAATAATTCAATTTCTATAGAGCCAAGAAGGAAGGAAAACCTTTTCCATTATATTTTAACCTAAGCTCTCAGTTTTCCTGACTGATTTTCAGAACTTGTGCTAGCAATCTTTCCAATACTGCTTTTACTAAAAAGCTTGGGTTCCTTTCATCGTTCTGAGCCGAGGTCCTTTGCTGGTTTCTCTCATGACAGCAAGGTGGCTGCAGTGGCTCCTGTCATCACAGTTTCACCAAGCAGCACAAAGCGATAAGAAGCATGTCCTGGAAGTCATCTTAGCAGGCTTAGCCTGCAGCTCAAGTCCACCGCGGGGTTGTCCTGAGTCAGTCACTGCGGGGGCTGCCAGGACCGAGGCTCGCTGCGCACGCGGCTCTGTCCCTTGCCCCGTTTCCTTTGCCATGAAGTAAATGCCTCGTTCATTTTGCACTGCGCGGATTGCCTTGAATAGGAGATCTCCTGGATGCTTATACTTCTCTTTAAAACCTAGCAGATTGGTGACATGTTTGTGTCTCATCATTTGCTTTAGTGTTGTTGGTGGAAGGAAGGATTGCTAAACCCCAAAGCCTGGGTGGCTCCTGTCTCGGTGTGACAGTACAGGACATGGAATGCTGGAGGGCGGCTGGGTCAGACAGCAGCTCCCTCCTGAGGGGGACTGGCGCATGCTCGGAGGGTGTCACCTGGATGACAACAATAAAGTGGCAGCCCAGGGAGCAGGGGCAAGGCCATCGCTGGATGCTGGGTCCTCCGGGGACTTCGTGCTGGGCTTTCCAGCTTCCAGGACTGTAAGAAATACACATTTGCTGCTTGTAAGCTGCCCTGTCAGTGTTCATCCAGTAGCCTGGGACCCACAAGTCCAAGGTCACACCCTGGGGAGCCGCCTGTTCGCTCCCAGAGATGCAGGTCTCCTCGCGAGGACCTGCCCGGCCGCCAGCTGGGCCCTTCCAGGCACAGTGGGCCGACCTCAGCCTGCCTCAGGCGGGGATGCCGCAGCTAGTGTGGGCCTTTCCTCAGCGAGCCCCGACATTTCTTTTGGCGGCCATGCCTCTTCCAGGAAAACCTTGGGGTTTCCAACTCCGTGAATGGATGAGAGCACATCCTATGACAGAAGGCAAGAAGTGAGCTTATCTAAAGTAGAGAGAGGGTGGGGGGAAAGCAGCCAGTCAATCCAAAGGAAGATCTGGCTGTCTACGGAAACCTGCATACAGAATCAACCATAACCTTTTCTGCTGGTGGTCTTGTGTGCATGGAATGTGACCCTACTGGCTTATAGGATGCTTTATTGCCAAGAACCCCTCCTCCAGATTTCTCACTGAAACCTCGGGCTTTCTTGGCAAATCTAATTCCATGCCTGTCACACCAAATTCATCTGCAGAGCTAAGAAATTCAACTCTATAGTGCCCTTTTCTTCAAGAAAAATGTCACAGGGACCTTTGGTGCATTGTCTTTGTCTCATTAAAATCTGCCTTTTAAATTTAACTTTTTATGTGAGACCAGAGATGTTTCAAAATATTAAATGCTCAATGCAGCATCGGTTTTGAAAATGTGAAGTCAACATAATTTCATACCACTTGGCAACTTGTGTTAATATTACTTTAATGATAGCAAAGATTTAAAAGATCAATATATTCGACTGAGATAAATATGTCTTTAAAGTAAAAGGGCCTCAATGTGTACATCTTCTGGGGCAGAGTTCCCATGTGGATCATACTCTCGAATTTCAAAATTTCAGTAGACCTGTTCCTGGTCTACTAATCATTAGCTGGTGTCCTTTCAGCTATGAGGAGTCTGTGTTATATAACAGGATGTCCCTGACTACTGAAATGATTAATCTGAGAGTGGGAAAGTGGGATTTTTAAAAATATTGTATGTATTAAATTGAAATAAAATGATGTTTTAGCATTCCAAGGTCACATGTATCGGCATAAGCAAACCTGTGAGGCTTTATTCCCCAGGGAGAGCAAGGCAGTGGACTGTTAGCAGGACAGTGGACATATGCACATCCTTTGGTCATCTGGACTGAGCCCAGCATCATGGGACATGCGAAGATCTCCCAGCATGTTGCAGAAGAAAGGCTCAGGTAGCTCGGCTCCACCAGCCCCAAGTCCAGTGGCACTTTCCCTGGGCCAGAAATTCATAGTTTTGTGTTTTACTCATGCATGGACAGCAGGAGTTACCGAGGTACACTTCGGATCACATATGTGCTGGTCACCGTCAGCTTCGTCCTGCCTCTCAGCACGGGACTGCCACAGATACGGAGGAGCCATGGAGAAGCAGACGCACTGAAGCAGAAAACCATGGCGCTGTCATTCCCTGCTCTAGGACAGATGCTGCAAACACTTCTTCCAGGAGCAGAAGCCGTATCACTGTCATCTAAAGAGTGGCTGAGCACTCAGTGATTTTTAATTTCTTGGAAGTCATAATTTGCGGAGCACCCACAGCCCAGCAGAGACTAATCTCTCCTCTTCCCTGTCCTCTGCTCGTGCTTGTGGGATGACCAGGTCAATTTCCAAGACAAGATGATCTGATCAATTAAAACAACCAGTGGATTCAACCTATAAAAATAGCCATGCTGGGCTTGTCAGGAAAGGATAAATTTCAAGGAAGATGAGTAGTGGTCTGAGTCAGCTTCTTGTGAAACTCAAGCAGGCAGACAAGTGACAATAAAGAGAACAGATGGTGACCCAAGTGTCCCCATAAAGCGTGTCGCCCTGCTGAGGAAAGGAAGTGGAATAAACCAGTGATCAGGAAGATATGCTAAGGAATGTTAGGAGAAAGTAATTACTAGAAATAGATCTTTTTTGTTGTTGTTGGGTGGTTTTTTTTGGGGGGGAGAAGGGTCTACAGGGTGTTCAGGGTCTCAATACTAGATCAGACTCGTAGTGATCTCCTGCTTATAGCCTCCCAAGAGCTGGTATTATAGGCATGCGCCACCAGGCCCAGTCTCAATTGCCATCTCAGCGTGCCTCAGGGGCAGGGCTGGTACGGCAGGCCCAGGGATCGAACTCCTGGCCCCTGAGCCTGCTTGCAGGTGCTTTAAGCCACTGAGCTATTTGGCCGGCCCTTAGACTTAGATCTTACTAATAAACCATACAGTCTTTGGTAGAGACTTCATTTGAATCAACATGTAAATTTGATTCTAAAGCTAGGGGGAAAAAAGATTTTCTCCTCAGCTCCTGTCTAGCCTGTGACTTTAATGGCCATGGTTAAACTCTCCCTTCTCATTTGGCAGGACTGCAGTCTTGAACCTCCAACAGCCGGAAAGTAAGGGCTTTTGTTGAACCCTGCGGGCTACCGGTTTTGCCCAGCTGCGACCCCCGGCGCCTGCTGCGGCTCCGCATGCTCCCGCGCCTTCCCCTCGCAGGAGCTCCCCGTGCGCAGCCAACGGTGCGCAGCCCCTGGAAGGTTCGAGTGTCGACACCAAGGCTCTCCGGACCCTCCGACTGGCTTCATTCAGTGACTGACCCTTGGGTGACGGTAGTGCTTTTCCACAGCGCGTTTAATAGCTGAGGTACTAAGTAGGTGTGGCAGTGACAGGGGAGCGGCCCGGAGCAGCGCATCGTCCTCGTGAGCGCGAAGGAGAGAGGGCGCTCGGCTCGTCTGCTTCAGGCCCCTCCTGCAGGGCGCGTCCTCCAGCCAGCGCGCTCGGAAAGAGCACAGTGGGATTCGCAGAGCCGGTGTCCAGGGCCTCCGCGGGAAACCGAGGCAGCCGGCCCGAAGGGCCTCTCCAGGGAGACTCGGGCCAGCAAGGGGCAAGCCGGAGTTTACAGCCAGGCCTTCTCCGGGCCCGCGTCCTGCCCACGAGTAGCCGAGCACATCCCAAGCACGCGCACTCGCTTCTCGGAAGAAGCCAAGTGAAATCCGGGAGGTAAGCGGCTCCTGCCCCTAGGCTCACAGCTGCTCAGTTCCCTTGCAGAAACCGCTTCAGATTTGAAAACGAAAATCCTGAAGCTGCCACCTATTGTTCACATTACAAAAGTAGCCAAAGAGTCCTTTGTGTTTGTAGATTTACACAGAACAAGAAAATTACCCCTAAAAACTTGAAATTTATAGTATTTATTATATATGAGGATCTATAATCTACATCCATCACCTTTTTGAAGTCAAAAAGACCTAAAAATATGAAGTAAATAGAATTTGGAAAGACCAGGGATGGTGAGAGGACACAGGGGATGGACTCTTTGGAAGGAGACTGGGGAAGCAAGAACATGGGGAATGGAGGGGACGGAGCGGGACCTTTTGTCCCCACACTGGGAGCCTCAGCAAGTGAGGGCTAGAGGTTTGCTCTTAAATCCCACTCATGATAAAATAAGCTTTAAAATCATTGAGAAAAAATGTTTTATTCAGAGAACATGAAAGCAGGCTAATGTGGGGATTTTGTCTAGAGGGTACACACACACACACTCACACACCCTCCTAGTGTAGGGTGTGTTTAGCGTGAGCAGGCAGGCACAGCACCCTACCAGGCCATTCCTGGGCCATTAGAAGTCAATCACTGATGTGCTTAAAGCTTTTTCTCTCTACAGATCCCTGTGATAGTGTTCAGAGGCCCAAAAAGTCTTGAACACATAATAGATGCTTCTCAGGTGAACAATCACTGTAAGATGGACCAGGAAGATGAGAGAAAAGAACCAGGGAGGCTGGTCAGGCCACTGTCACAGCAGCCCTGCAAAAGGGGTCATGAGGACTCGTCTGAGAATAGTGCAGGGAGCAGGCCCACACGGGGACAGCTGGCTTCCTTAGGGGCTATTCACCACTTCCCCCAATCTACAGACTCCACTGAGGGTTTCTGCTAACTCTACCTACTCAGTAGATAACTACCTGCTTCTCCGCCCTCGCTTACTCTCTGTGCAGTCCCGTCTCCTCCCAGGGATCTGGGAAGCAAACAAACCTGAAAGCCCAAGTGAATAGGCTCAGTTTTGCCTCAGTGCCCCTGCTGGCAGCTGCCGTACTCCAGAAGATGCTTTACACATGAAGCTGTTGGTGGGAGCGGCTCATGCAGGCCTGCGAGCGGCAGACTGAGAGGCTGAGGGAGAATGCTCTTGAGATGCCATTTGATATCGGGGCAAGTGTCTGGAGGGACACTAATCACGTTCGCAGTAACGGACCCCAGTGAGAAGGAAGACACTGGCAGGCAGTGAAGGCTGCCTGAGGACTTCTCCAAATTGCTTCTCCTGTGCAGTGACTGAAGAGTGTGTCACTGTTCCTTCTAGTCACGTGACCTGGTGCTTCAATAATTTACCTCAAAATTAAAAAAGACCTTGTCAGTATTCTACTTTTCTAAATTCAACATTTTCTTTCCTGGCCTGTGCCGCAATAATTGCGCTGACTCCATGGAGTGAGGTGGAGAGGAGGTAGGTAGCTCGCACCTGCGAAACAGGCACCGAAGTGGCACTGGAATGTGAGCCTGCTGGGGCATGTGGGGCCAGAGATGGAAGGCGTTCCCCTGGAGGACACGGAGCCCAGCCAGCGCGGTTCCCTGGTGCCGCTGAGCCCGTGTGCATTCCAAGTTCTAGAAATAGTTTCCACAAGTTCTGCCAGATGCCGAGTCCTGACAGGCCTGCCTCTCGCCATGCCCCTTGCCTGCCAACAGGAAAGTTCCCCGTTGTCCTGCGCAGGCCAGAGGCTGGCGCAATCGGCAGATCAAGCAGGCAGCGATTGGCATGGGGGGCCGCTCCATCCTGAGGGTTCTGTTGAGATTATATTCCACCCGCCTGCCAGGGGCACATGGAGACAGACTTATGCTAGGACACGTTATCGTTCTCCCCTTCCGGCCATCTCTCCACGGCCCTTGCACGGGTTGTATTTAACAGATGTGAACGGGGCACTCGTCCTATTTGCTTTCCTCAGAGCTGAAGCGGTCAAGCTCTGCGCCATTTCTGGAGCAAGGGTGTGGCATCCAGTTTTCATGCCAGTGTTTCCCCACTTGTGTTCATGGTGGCTACTGGTCCCCACCGTGCACTTACTACAGCGCTCTCTCGGCCCAACGTTCCAGGAATTCTACCGGCCTCAGTATGTGAAACAAAAGCTATTTGCCTAGATTAGGGAAGTCCAGTTCAGAGCTGCCCTACGAAGGTCATCCTATGAAAGCTCTGTGTAGGACAACATTCCTTAGCTGACCCCTGGCTTGCCCTGGGGAGGAAACCATATCTTAGGAGTAGTGACAAAACTTACCCGGGCTTTCAGGCAATGTCATGGTAAGCAATGCCAAAGGTCCTGGTCTCATCTTCTGTCAATTACAAATATGGATTTATTTCCAGAAAAGAAAAATACTAACCTAATCTTTATTCAACTTTCACTGTCTCATTTTAGACTAAAATAATAGAGCCCACAATTTTTTCATTTTAATGAAAAAGATGATTCTTTGTGGCTGGTCCACCTCTTCAGCAATTAAGTGAAAATTTATTTGAGGAGTTTTCTTCTCTTTTGAGAGGAATTGCATTCCTGTAAGCAGGAAGGATGCAGGGAGGCCTAATGATGGGTTTGAAGAACTTCTGCTGAGGTGGCCACGTTCGTTTGACACACACGCATCAGGCACTGTGCTGGTGAGAGGTCACCAGAGCAAATCTGCACTTTTGAACAGACGGAGGGTGACACGTGACCAGTAGGTGCACCCGTGTGTCATTCCCATGGTGTGGTGACAATAATGTGTGATCCAGAAGCTATGGGGGCCCAAAAAAGGAAGCTCCTCATGCCCGGAAGCTCAGGAAGCCCTCTCAGAAGGACGACGTTGTTGAGCAAGCGTTAGGGTCTCACTGTAGCCCTTGTCGGACCACTCAGACAACCCAGCCTATGCATAACAACCGCATGAGATTCCACTTTCACAACGCAGTTCTATAAAAGCTTGTGGCTGAAGACATTCCCCTGTCAGGTGCACCATGTTCTGCTTCCGTGCTGCGCTGAATCCGTGACAACCTCCAGACCAAGTTTGTTTTTCAGTTTGGGTCTTGAGCTTGCGTGTACATGGGATTCTCCTTTCAGTATCATACACTTGGATCACATGGCAGCCTGGTCCAAACACGAGAGAACCACTCATTTCGTAAATGACTGGAGCACTACTGAAAGCCTGTGAGGAATAAATCAGAGCACTGTCTTAATTGGCCTTTGCTCTTGGCGTGGCTCGCTTCTCGTGACCACGAAGGAATGAAGCTATTCAGGTAAGCCCTGGCAGCAGGCTCTGGAGAGCCTCAGGAGCCACTGGGACGATCTTCTCAGAGCTTCCACTGGTGCGCCCAGGGAGGATCCTGACGTAGGAGTTTCTACTTTGGGTGAGGACAGTCGACCCCAGCCAAGTACTCACTGTGGCAGCAGATCTGATTTCTGTGTGAAGGGCTGGCAAGAGCTGAAGAGAAGCCAGCTGCCAAAGAGAGCTCCCTTCAGCAGCCAGGACTTCCTAGGCCCAGGGAGTCTAGAAGGGCAGCATTAGGTGGCCTCTCACAAAGGCAGATTTTTGAACCAATTATTTTTTTCCCCCCACATGCACAAAGTGAAGAAGCTTTTGCCCAATTCAGAGTCCAGAGTAACTCCGGTGGCCAGAGTGTCCACTGGGGGCTTCCCTGTGCTCACAATGCCCCAGCTCCATGGGTGAACACAAGGAGCTTTACCCCTCAGCTGGAAGCAGACTGTGGTTGTGCTTTATGCTTGTTAAAGGCCACCTGGTGTGGTCATCACGTAGCAGGTCCGCTTTATGGGGTGCACCAGGGAACGCTTTGCCATGGGCGCCCAGAACCCTGGATCTAAGCCCTGAATTCTGCCAGGCACAGCTCTGTGCCTCAGGCAAGTGATTTCTCATCTCTGAAACTCAGTTTCCTCATCTTCAATCATTTCTGCAATAGAAAGTAGAAAAATGTTGTGCTGTCCCTCTGGGGTTCCCTGAGCCCACAATTGAGACTGGGTGTGGTGGCGCACGCCTGTGATCCCAGCTCTTGGGAGGCTGTAAACAGGAGGATCACTACAAGTCTGATCTAGTAGTGAGACTGTGAACACCCTGTAGACCCTGCCCTAAAAGACAGTAAGTAAATAAATAGAAAGTAGAAAAAAGAATTTTATTGACTCATCTTGTACAAGCAGTGGCTTCAGCACAAGTATTTTGCTAGCTTGACCACTGTTCCAAGATCCAAGTTCTCATGTGGGAAGCATTTTCCAAAGCGTAATTGCTTTCACCACAGGTATACAATAGTTTATAACCTTTAAATTATTGAAGAGACCACTTAGGGACTAATTCTCCCTACAGAAGCTGGTATAAACAACACCATGTGAGGTGAAATGCATCTTGTGAGGTTGTCCTTTTTTTTTTGGTGAAACCGGGATTGA